GGAACAAAAGGATACCAAGGAAGTTTAACTGTGGGGGGGGGGGGTCACCAGCCCATGTCCTAACGGCCAACATTTTTTACTCCGAGCTCAGTTAGGTTCATAAGATCTTCTTCAGTTCAGTTCAGTTTTTATTGGCTCACACTTTTACAACAGTGGCACACACTAATCAGTGGTGCGTCCAGACTAACTAATCAAAAAACAATATAGTAAAATTGAACAAAAGTAAAAAAAGGAAACGCAGAGGTAAACAGAAAAATCAGGGAAGTTAACAAAAAAAGTAAAAGAAAGGAAAAACATCTCAGAAATACAAAATTCAAATCAAAAAAACAAACTGCATTTCAGTAAAAAGCAAGTAAGAAATAAACAATTAAAAAAAAAATCAAAATCAAGATTTAAAAAAAAAATCCTAATAATGTGCAGTATAATTGTACAGTATAATTGTACTTACATACACATACATATAAACATATTACATATAATTACACACACGTAAATATACACATTCGTATGTATACATAGTAGTAACAGGATATATTCTCACGACCAATACAACTCCACACCCCAAGCTTTAAATGACACATGGTTCATATGGAAACTTATGATTAAGTTTTGATTACTGGTACAGTATATTCTTTGGTAATTTAATGTTTTCAAATTTGATAAAAATGCTATTTTTTTTTTTTTTTTTTTTTTGTATTAACGGATGCACCACCCACGAGGTTCTGTGCTACTTTCAGAAGATAATCATTACATGCACATTGGAACAAAGAGAGATGAAGTTAGTGGAGTTAATACTTTGAGAGACAGCACTCGGGCCGCTTGGAGCAGATTGAAGAGGTTATTCTGAAAAGGATTGGGTATTGTTTTTAATAGAAAATTGGATTTTTCAGATCATATAAATTCTTCCATCTGTTGCTCAAAGAATGCTTGGTATTATTAAACGCACTTTCCTTTATTTGGATAAGGATATGTTTTTGCCATTGTTGAGGTCTCTAATTCGGCCTCATCTAGAAGGTAATAGTTGTATATGGAGTCCAAATTTTTCGAAACATAAGAAAGCCTTAGAAAAAGTGCAAAGAAGAGCTACCAAACTTGTTCCAAACCTTAAAACCTTAAGTTTATAAAATTTGTCAAGGTCTCACATAGTTTTTTATTTTTTTTATTTATTAATATATCCTCAGCAGACCATGGGGACATCCATTGAAGCTTTACAAGTAATTATAGATTGGATTCTAGAAAGTATTCTTTTTCATGTCGGGTGGTAGGCTCGTGGAATAATTTACCCAAATCGGTTATTGCGAAGCTAGTTTTCTCAATGCATTTAAATCGCGCTTAAATGAGGCATGGAGAAACCAAGGAGGTATTATATATTATCATACCTCCTTGGAGAAACCATCCATTAAAATTTTCTTTTTAATTTACCGTCTTCGGACTCTCGTGCACCAGTTGACGCCACCGACAGCAGTTATAGTTTTGTTAGAAGATGGGCCATAAGCAATTTTGCTTTCCACCCGGCCCAGAAGTTACAGGCAAGGCAAGATAGCCGAAATCAAATACTGTATAACACACAAACTATATTAAACAACCACCTTGTTTGACTAACAACTACTTTATTTGAAATTTGGGCTGAAACTAAAACTTTGTGAATGGATTCTCCCACAATAAAAATAGGCTGTGTATATATAAACAAATAAATAAATGGATGGATGAATGGATTCATGCATGGATGAGTGAATGACTAATTAATTAATTTTTTTGCGTAGATGTTTTAAAAACTGTATATTTAATTCTATCAATCAATCAAAAAATTGTTCCATTTATATGGCGACATTCCAACAGTCGTTGCTCGTGGTGCCGTTAAAAAAAAAACAAATAACGAATATATTACTGAAAAAGGTGCATCTTAAATACTTCTGTCAGGTGAAGGTGATTGTTGATAATGGGTAGCAGGTCAAAACGGTAATAAACCAAAACGGCAATGAGCAAAACGGCAATAACCAAAACGCGGCAATGAACCAAAACGGCAATGACAAAATACCAAAACGGCAACAGGCCAAGAAAACGGCAATGACAAGAAGGCCTACCAAAACGGCATAGACCAAAACGGCAAGGAGCGAAATCAATGCCAAGACTAGCAAGCGACAGGCGCGTGCCGCAGTTATAATTTTCTGAATCGAAATTGCCCGATAAGGCAAATCAAATATTGCCATGGGCTCTTTTCCCCACTTTTAGTAATGTTTATTGTGTGCTTTTTTTTTACTTTTATGTCATAAATTGTTTAGTCTCATTTTGTCTGTATTTGAAAGTTTTATTTGTTTAAATGTTTTACTGCTTTTATATTGTTTCCCTCCCCCCCCCCACCCAATTTTTAAATATTAAATCATTTTTGTATGACTATTTTTAGTATTGCCGTTTTGTCTCCAGAAACATTGATAATCTTCAGAGAAAATTCCAAAGCATATAATAGCCATATGTTTACATATATATCGTAAATCTAAGTTACTTTTTGACTTTTAGGTAATTCATCATGCTTTAATGGAAAATAAGTTTATAGAAGAATTTTTCCTCTCCAATCAGACACAACCGTTCCAATTCAACTTTCGCATGGAGGACACCAGCACAGAGAGAGAGAGAGAGAGAGAGAGAGAGAGAGAGAGAGAGAGATAATCTGGGGGAGAGATCAGTTCAGACAGGAGGCCGGGTCAATATTCGATGATCTGATTGGCTAGGTCTACCATGCGAAACAGGAAACAGTCTCTCTTCTTTGATATGATCGTCGGCATGCCAACATAAATACTACCGAAAGGTTGTTGTTGCTGATGATGGTGAGGAATTTTGTCTAATTTATTATCAATTCCTTGTTAAAATTATGGAACCTCCTCAAATATATGTTGAACGCACTTTAGCGATTATTAAGCCAGACGCTATCGACTGTGCAGACGAAATAGAAGAGATAATATACCGTTCTGGATTCACAGTTTTACAGGTTTGTTTGTATATAATAGGCCTAGGCTAGGCCTAGGCCTATATACTAGCTAGGCTATATAATATAGGTCTAGGTTAGGGCAGGCCTGGCCTAGGACCTCGCTAGGTAGGCCTAGCCTAGCCTAGCTAATGAGGGCTAGCTTAGTTGGCGAGTTTCTGGGCGCTAATGCACTTTCGCACCTAACTTTTAATTCTTAATTTTTTTACCTCAACGTTCTTCTCACAGTCACAACATATAATTAACAAACATTTTCACATGATTTAACCACTCACAAACAAAGTACCTTTTTCAACAAATAAGCCCACAAATAAGTACAGCGAATCTGTGTTCGCAAGCACGACGAGCGGCTGCCATTTTGCAATCAGTAAGAAATTGCCAGAATGTGTAAGTTTGCAGTGTGGAGTTTTCTGATTAAAGTTTATGAAAACTTATCTATTTGCCGTATTGTATGTCATTCTTTATATTGTATGGTGCTGTTGTTCGACTATGTGTGTTCACATGAAATTCACACGTACAATAATTACTTACAAAAATTAGTAATGATCCAAATGTGTACACAGATCGAAAAATAGGGCCTAGGGCTAAATCCAGAAAAACAACTAGTAAAGTAAATGAACGTCAGTTCTATTAACTTCGATTACGACAAGAAAGTTCAAAAAGATGGTAACTGCATGACGCCATATTTTGTTGTCGGGTGTTTCATAGAAAAATTCCAATTATAAGACTGGCCTTTAATGGTTTCAAAATTTAAGAATTGACTCGGACATTCTGGCAATTTCTTACTTGATTGCAAAAAAGTACAGCTCGTCGTGCTAGCAAGCGCGGAAACCCTGTATCAACCTAAATTTATAAAGATATCTTTTTGTTGAAAAAATGTACTTTATGAGTGGTTGAATCATGTAAAAATG